GTCATGTGCAATAGGCAGCAGGAATAATTCAGCATACAAATTCAGAGAGCAATTATTATTATTATTATTTTAATCACATAAAAGGACACTCCAGGGTTTTGTAATTTTGTGATCACAGGGAAAGAGACTCATAGGCAGAACAGAAAAGCTGCACCAAGTGATTGCACAATTGGAGGTTACCGTTTCTCTTCTGGTAGTTAGAATATTGCTAAATTAATATTTTCATCCAATTACCTTTCCCATGTTAAATATTCATACACCAACTCCTGTTGCTTCTAATTGAGATGGGAACATTTCCTGCCTGCTTCATGGTTTCCTAGCTAAAGCACTGGTGAAGGAAGCAGCTATGTGGAAAACGTTTGGCTCAACAGGCAAGGCTGGATGGTTGAAGGACTAATTGGGACATGGAGCCTGCTGTGTCCAATGGGGCCCAGCACCCGGGCTGGCGGTGAAAGAGCACTCTAGCTGCTGTTCCAAGTTCCTGTGAATGCAGCTCGGTGGTGTAAGCCCAGTGGAGAGACACTACTTGAATCTCCATCCAGATCAGAGACTGGGCAGGTCACAGTGTCACAGTGCAGTGAGAAAGTCCGGAAGGATTACACTGCATTTGCCAAGGAGAAAAAACATGAAGGTTTACGAATCTCAGGACAACCAACTTGGTACTTTCTAGAGGCCTCTGTATATATTCATGTGGTCACTACTTTCCTTCCCCAGCCACTTCAAACCTCTTTTTTATCCTGGAGAGCCAAAATACCACTATTTCCAGGAACTGAGACCAATGACCTCCTGTCTTGAAAACAAACTGCCAGGGCAGTTCAGGTCAAAGTTTGAGCTGAGAACACAAACACAGCCTGAGCAGCCACGGATCTTCCAGGAACCGTTACACGGCCTGTGCAGATAGCCCTGTGTACTCCATCAAATGTGGAACAACATGGAGGGCCCTACACGAGGATGAAGTCTAAATGCCTTACATCTTTTAGATCCAGCTGCTGTCAGATCTTTGCCATCCAGTTCTGGTGACCTGGCTGTGTCCTAGATGTGACAGTTGTCACATGGATTCACATCAGATAAAGCTACAGCGGCTCACAAAGATGCACAAATTCACATATGCTGAGAGAAGCAATGGCTGCGACAAGGCAATTCATAATTTTAAGTGTGATTTCAGGTGGGGAAGAGAGGAAAAAAGGGGGGAAACCTAGTTAAGGATTGCTATTTTTATACTAGAATTAATATACTAATGTGCAGTTAGGTGGTGAAAAATGACTGTCTAACAGAACAGCAAGGTTCCATATTTACTTGCTGTCACTGATTTCAGAGCAAATTGGCTCGGGTTATAAGTCAAAGAAGGATTCTTCTGCTGCCAGCACTGCACACTTCAAGAGGTATCTGAAAATCGGGCTTCTTACCTTATCATTGTTAAAAGACTGTGCAATCAAAACATAACTGACAATTCAGCTGATGCATGAGCAGAAATAGATGCCAGCTCACTCTCCCATAGCTAGAGAAACTCTGTAAAGCTAACAGGATTTTAAAAACATTTTGTCAGAAAAATAAGTGGCTATGACAGACCCAGGGAGCGGGTAGAATAATAATTCAGCTATCTAATGCTGGGTATCACAGTGACAGGTGCATTTCAAGTGCTGCGCTACATAATACGGTTGCCCTCTCCAGCAGCCTCACTCCAAGGAATTCAACATGCTTTGCAAACATCAATTAATTTAATGCTCACAACACCAAAGACAGGAATGCTGAGCTTCTGGGGTAAGAAGGGTTAAAATAACTAGGATCAGCACTGGGAACAGAATACACAACTGCAGATCTCTAGCCTTGACCCTCAGCCACAAGCCCAGCTGTGCCATTTTTCTTAAATAGTTCTCCTAAACAAGCATGTTTTGGGCCTGATTCTAACGGTGGCCAGATACTCTGCAGTTCTTCCTTGAGTTAGCTTAAGTGTAGAGAGAAACTTTGCAGGTAATTCTGAAAAACCCACAGTTGTTCAATCATTCACATTGGAGCCTTGTGGTGCAGGTTTTATTTTAACAGAGATCATCCTTCCACCCTAGTAGTATGCTTTGCCCATTTCCGCAGCGTAATTTCCAGGGAAATCATCACACATCTGAAATGGCTGCAAGTCTAAAACATGTTTACCCACCGGAGGGCATGAGATGGGATGTTTAGCATGGCACATCTTATCAGAAGCATCACAGATGAATAAATAATGTTTATGAAAGAACCGCAGCTAGCGGGTTTAAGAAAAGGGCTTTCAAGTTGCAATGATTATAAATGACAGCAATCAGAAGACTTCTGTACAAATAAGCTATGTTCAGAACATGGGAGAATCCTGATGAAATTGATGCCCTAGGAATAGGATCTGGAGAGCATCAATCACAAGCAGAAACATGAGAGCAAGTCACCAGAACAAAGTCCAAGTGAGTGGGAATGCTGCCTTCCAGTGTATGTAGCAGCCTGGCACTTACTTGGGTAGTGGGAAAATCTGATCTCTGGGTATGAAGAGGTATGAAAATGTACGGATATTCTCCCAGATGTGACCTGCCACCTTCCATGGCAGAGGAGAAAGGAGATTAACTAGGGTGGAGATACAAGAGTTCTTCTCCCTGTGATTTTCCTGACATCAGGGAGGCATGGTAGCTTATGGCTGTTAAGAGAAGCAGAATGCTATGTAGGAGGAGAAGGTGAATATTTATTTTGTATTTCTACTTTGATTAGAGAGAATATTTGATAAAGAGCAGCTCCCCTGCTTCACCCAGGGTGAGGCTGCTAAACTGAAGGCTAGGCTACAAGTGAGCATCACATCCACAACAGGAAAATATATCACCCTTCAAGAACTCAATTGCTTCTCATGCACACAAACATACTTGAAAATAGCCCCAAAGAGGTTCCTTCCCTCCCACATGGAAGCAGCTGCAGAGAAATCTCAGCTTAATATTGACACCTCCAGCCTGGAGAGTACCTAATTTGCTTCCATTACATCTATAGTTTGGAATAAAAAGATACATGATGTGACGGGAGGGGGCATGGGCAACAATGAAGAAGGACAGTGCCCTGTCCTAATTTCTAAATCTCTGAAGTCAAGAAGGATAGAGGGCTGCAGCAATGGATTGCCTAATGCTTCCCTTCTTTACCAGGCACAGTTAAAGGGAGGAAAAGCCTACTAAGAGTCTGAAATGTACCACGTAGCTTCTTTTCTGCAATTGTCTGCAAATCCTTGTGCTCCAAAGCATTTTCCTTGAGAGTGCTCACAGGCACGCTACAAACAAGCATAAGTATTGCCAATTGTTTTAGCATGATAAATGCATTTAAAAGCTTTCAATATTTTTGTCTGTTTACAGGCAAGCTCCTTGAGGAATTTTGACAAGCTTGCCAGAATGGAAAAGTTGCAAAATGCTTAACTTAGTGCCGAAGTTAATGCAAATTCTCAAGTAAGAAACCTGGGTATTTTTTGGGCATTGAAAGAGGAAGGCAAAGGAGGAGCAAATCCACATCACCGCTCCTGACAAAGTGAGACTGACAAGAGCAGTGGCTGGTCACACACAGCCTGTGCTAGTACAGGGCACACATCCAAAACTGCTTCCTCCACACACCCCAGCAATCCTTAACTCACTTCCATTCAACTTACAGTATTGCACAACCAGAATTAACTCTCTTGGTACTTCTGCAGGAACTAAAGAGACAAGTGCCTCATCTGGGGCAATAAAAGGACTTGGTGGTGGCACCACAAGCAGAACACCAAGATTTCTCCCTGTGCTGTGGCTAAACTAAAAGCCAGCCCTTCCCCTGACACTTCCATCAGGGCTATGTGCCCTTGCAGTCCAGAGGCCAAACAGGGCTGCTGCTCTTCAAGGTTTTGGCCATCCTAGAAGATATGTGATCTTATTTCCACCTTCAAATCCTCACTTTCACACACATCTCGCAGCTCCCCAAAGCTAATGAGGCCTGCGTAGGAGGCCGTACTCAGTCTCCACACAGAGCTGCAGATCTGCACATCTACAGTCTGAAAGATCACACTCATGTCATGTACCTGATGTAGAGAAGGACTGGGACACCTAGAGTGCAAAAACAGGAATGGGAGTGTTTCTTCAAACCAGATTAGTCCAATCCATTTGCCCTGAGGAAATAAAGCTCACAGATAATTTGCCCACTAAAGAATTCTATTTGACCCTAATCTGGGTTAAGGGACTCTGGGAGATAATCTCTGCTAAACAGACTCCTGTGGAAAGAAGCCAAGAGACCTCTGTACAGCAAATATTTCCCAAGGACGGTTGGGAAAGGGCTGCTAAAGCAGATTCTGCTGGCCTTCTCACCGTGGCACAACCTTTGCAGGCAAGGCCAAGCTAGGGCAGAGTGAGCTGAGCAGGGAAATGCTCTGAGCGCAAATGAAGAAAAAGACAATTTATATCCCAAAAGGTCAACAAGTATCCCGCCAGAGCAGGCAGGGGAGTAACACTGAAATTACGTAAGTGGCTCACATAAGAAAAGGTAATCCACTAAGGAGTAAAATTATACAAGCCAGTAAGAACACAGTATAAAAAGCCTTTAATATTGATTCACTCACTCAATATTTCATGGAATTCACATCTTGCTCAACAGTAGAGCAACGAGAGAGAAAATGCTCAGTTTGGTCAGGCCCTGATGTCTACAAGTTTAGACAAATAGCAACATTGTCAGGTTTGGACTGACTTCATGTTTTAATAAAGACACTGGTAGGTTTTAGCACTGTTCTCAGACACATTTGGTTCAAGATCTGTATACAGAGGTGCTACAGGCTGGGCATTGAGAGATTCCTGTAGGAATGAGATACCCAGCAATAGGATATTGGTAGGTAACCTATAGGAGCTGTGTTGGAAGTCTTGCTTCATAAAAATGGAAAGAGATCAAAGCTGTTACAGATGCCTCACTGCATTGCAGAGCAAGGAACTGACATGGACACGTGGTCTTTAAAAAATTCAACGAAATTGCACTAAAATTGTTTCAGAACTCACCAAACATGTTACCGATGTGGCCGTTCTTAGTAAGTGGTCGCAGTTCATTTTTTCCAAGTGCATATTGTTTGTAGTTATCCCAAGCAAATTTCATCATCTGTAAAAAGAAAAATTGAATGAAAGTGCTTAACAATTGAAAGTTTTCTGAACTTCAGCTCTGGGAATGAAATGGGAGTTTCCCATTCACTGATAAACATGGCAATCAGTAATTACAGAATCTTAATTTGCTCTGAACACTGAAGTCTCCAACTCATCACTCCTCGTGCAGAGCTTGGGACTGGCACATTTCTGAAGTACCACAGTAGCCAACACACAGAGTCCACTTTTCCCCCAGTCTGTGCAAACCAAGTGGAAATTTTAGAAAGATGTCTCCATCTCTGAATTTCTGACCTTTTTCACAGAGTATCAGTATTTCAGAATGGTAATTAAAATGGGCTATAAATGTAAGGCCAAAGCTGTTATATCCCTTAGTATAGGGATGTTACCTTCTGAGTTGTTGCATTTCTTTATGATAGCTATAATGAAACTTGATCAAACTGCAAAACCACCCACCATCTGCCCACCTTGCAGCAGTTACACATACAACTTTGGCAAAGCAGCACCACGGAGGTACGCAATGTATTTAATGCTGTGGTGAGCAAAGGAAGAAATTGTTCTTCGTTTAAGGACTGCACAGAAGATTTCTATTAATCAACAGAATACATTCATAAAGGAGAAAGGGGAAATCCATGACGTTTTGATATCTTCCTATCAAAATTCAAAAGTGCTTTCTTAAGAGAGCCCTGCTGATGGGCTGTGTGATTTCTGAGAAACCCCTTCCAACTCAAACAATTCCTTTTGGGACATTTGAACTGTCCTGCTTGGGCTCAGCACATTAACCTCTCCCTGAGGACTGCAGGGCAGCATGTTTGTGCAAGTTCCAACACACACACACCAGCACAGCTTTGTCTGTCCTCCTGCCCCTTTGGCTCCAGCTTGTAGGAAAAATTAAACCTACAAGTATCCTCTCTTCAGCTAGGAGAGACTAGGAGTTGTCAACTTCTAAGGAGTGCCTTAAATAAAGCTCCCTTTTATAATCCACACAGCCTGGCTCTGAGCAGTTTCAGCCCCAGCATTGCAGTGACCTGTACATTCTTTGATTCAATCCCTGGAAAAAGTTAGATAACAAAGGGGAAGAAGGTGGCTTCAGAAAATTTACAATATTCTCCAACACCGCTCAACAAAGATAAGAGTGTTCTAAAATGCTTCACTCAAACAAGACATCTGAGAGAAAATGACAGTTTAAAACAAATCATTCCTCCACATAGTGCCCCGTCTAATATCTGCAAGAGCATTTACTGCTCTATTTCAGGATCAGAATATGCAGGTTACTTTGGTCTGAAATTCCTACTGTCATTTCAGTTCTTACTTTTGTCCTTCCCTCCAGCTGTGTGTTTCACAAACCCAACATTGCAAGCCTCCGGCAGTACCCTCCTTAATTAGCACACATACACAAAAAGCCGTATCGTCAGATTCCCAACCCCACTCCCCATGTTCAACATCAAGCTTCCAAGGTAAAGTTTCACAGAGCTCATCATATGGGCAAGGATAAACATTTGCTGAACTGATTGGTAACATTCAGACTCCCAACACCACCAGGAGAAGGAACGTTGGACAAACAAAGTCAACTTGGGTTTTAAAAACTCAGTGTGGGATGAATTAGCCACTGGAGCGCTTTGCTCTGAGGAAACTAAATAATGACTGGGTCGGGGGCTGGAGGGAACAAAACCCTCCACAAAATTTACTCAAACATGCGTCAGTCATATGACTCGGGGTGTTCATTTTAATGCTGCCACTAAAAAACTCCCAAAGCTAGCAAAAATATTCTAAATAGGAATTTCTCACTCTTTATTAACATAACAGCAAATCTTCGAGGAACTCTGGACTCTCTCTGATGGTACTAAGCGAATGCCTTTAGGTCTCAGAGCTTGATCCTGAAGTTTACTGCAGGAGAAGATGGTGTTTCCATAAAGACAGCTTTCCCACAGTGAGCGATAGGGCTCGTGCCCCAGAAAGGAAACAGCTAGGCAATCTATTCAGTTAATTTCTCTCCTAAATCGGAGCTGAGGAAGGAGGACCCACCCTTCTGGCACACAGAGAGCCTGGACTTGGAGAGGATGTGTAAATGACTCTATTTTGTTGCATAAAACTCCTAACGTTGTAATTCTGAATCAGCCTCATTTTAAGCTGAGTATGAAATTTAAAGTTATTTCCTTCCCTTAACTTTAACCCCTCCATTCCAGAAGGTCTGAAGTGTCTTCTTCAAAGCATGTGAAAAACCCAGGCATCTCTGCCACAGTGGTGCAGATTGCTCTCTGGGACCCAGAGTTTGCTGACTCCTCCATCACAGGCAAGAAAACCACCACAGGTTTCCCTTCAGCAGCGGCTTATATCCTACAAGGGAAATCTCCTCCTCTCCTCCTGGGTTCTTACACAAGGAAGGACTGCATGAGGCCTGCTGACAGACGCCCCAAAGTGACTCACTCCACAAAGGACTACCAAGTGCTATTTGAATAAATATGTTTATTCTTAATTTGCCTATTCAACCATTTAAACTGCATTTGTCACAGTGTTGCAAAAAGTTCCACTACGAAATGATTTCTTGGGCTGTGCTGGCTGCAGTGTCTTAAACTCTCCTCTGTTCTGTCCTGAGCTGATAATCAGGCAGACAGAGGATGGATGAGATTGGATATGCTGCCTCATCATATTAAAGCATTGTCAGTTTTCCTTTACATGAACAAAATTTTGCTCACTCCTTTAAAACCCTGTGTATTTGGGAGGCAAGATGCATACTGTGGTACTCTTTCATCTTCCAAGATCAAGCTTTCCTCTCTAATGATGGGTCCAAAAGCAGCAACTGGAAAAGTTTAAAAGCCAAATGTGCCAATCTGCCCATTCTGGCTTTCTGCAGCTGTCTTTCCAATCCAAATTTAGCAGTTCAACTTCCAAACCACTGAAGAGATTCATCAAGCTTCTAAAAGCAGGGATTCCACATTTATATACCATACAGAGGACTGAGACGGAGCCTTCGGAAGCTTTCTCTGACAGAGGTTCCAAATGCTGGGCTGAAACAGGAGAGGGATGTAGCTGAGAGGTGCAAAATGGAAATTTGCAGAGTGAGGTGTTTAAGTCAGCTTTCTGATGAGATGCCAAGGTTAGAAGTGAATATTTTATGCCATTCTAGTCATGACAGATCACAATACATCAGCATTAACGTTATGCCATTTTAGATTTGAAAAATGGCACCAGAACCACAAAAATTATGGAAATAGATCCATAATTTCAGATTTTGTTCTTACCAGTGTGCCATCTGCCATCTAAGAGACAATTATCTATTTGGCCCTGAAATTCTAATCACCTTGGCTTTCAGCTGATTTATAGCAAAGATGTCCAAATTTATAATTGAACTTGTCAGATTGCTCTTTCTTTTCTATAATCTGTAAGCCACTTTTTACTTTCAGGAGTTTCAGCTACCCAGCTAGACAATTATGTATTAAAATCAACTATAAGTAACTTAACTGAATTCTGAAAACCCACATTATCACTTTCATCATTACATCTTTGCAGGTTCACAACACTACAGTATTTAGATTGTACAAAACCAATGCAGAACAAGGCTAGGTTAAAACTGCTTTCAGTGCATTTTTTAATTTAGTGTATGGAAATTTTTATATTTAGAAGTCAGCTTTATAAATACTCTCCTTTAAAATACTGGGCCAAACACCAAGTCCTTGTGTCCCTTCAAATACTGCAGGAAATCATACAGCCCAAACTTCTCTATCCACTAAGCCTAATAAGCACACCACAACAGCACCTACACCACTACTACAGCTTTGCCCACTCTCTCATTTCCATTTGCTTTTGACATGTCTTAAATCAACAAGAATTCTTACGTTTTCCGAGATCAAATATGCCAAATCACACAATAAAAATCACCACTCCAGACTCAGTAAATAAAAGCATTAACAAAATTGATAACACTCCCTCTCCACACAGACTGTATGAAATACTACAGGAGGGCACCCCTGCTCCTCGGTCTGGCAGTGCTTTTATGATGCCACTCAGGCTGTAACATGGGAGATACTGAACAGCTGGGATTTACAATTTCTGCCCACGTGTACTACAATCTTGATTTTCAGTGTGCTACCACTTTACTGATTTTCAGAGAACCTGAGGTTATGGAAAAAATCAGACTCCAGTGGAAAGGCATTTGGGACAAGTTCAGAACAAGAAGGCATTTAGAAAGTTCTGTGATCCAGATAATGAAGAAACAGGGCTCATGATAAAAACTTGACCAAGGAAATATTTTCACTCTGAATTGATGTGCAAATCTGATGTACTTTAATATATGTAATAACTAAACCACTGAAAATCCCTGGGTTTATGTACTTGCAAAGAACAGAGAGATGAGAGAGAGAAAAAAAAAAAAAAAATCCCCCATGCTATCACTTGCCCTCCTTTTGTTACCAAGGAAGATTTCAAAATGCAGAGCATTCCCAAACAGCTATTTGATTAGTTTTATCCATCTTGCCTGGGATAATTAGTAAATGCTTAAAAGATGAAATCTAAATATACCAACCAATCAGCCCCTTTCAAGAACTTCCAAGGAACATTACACAAAGCCATTATCTTCACAAGATAACCACTTTTGTGGCGCTTTAGCCTCCTTTCTTCAACTCCCCTTCAAATATTTAACTATTAAGCAATTTTAGAAATTTCTGGTTTGGGTTTTTTTCCAAAGAAGGAAAAAAAAAAAAAAAAAAAAAAAAAGGAAAGAGGTGGTTGTGGGTGTAATTTCAAATATTTCTGTCCCTATTGTATTTCTTAGTTGTTTTTTCCCACCTCAAATTACCAGACAGGTTTCTCTTCCTTTCTCTGCAGCTGGAAGATGATTAGTTGTCATATGAGTTTCAAAACTAGGACCTGTTCTTTCCCATCTCTAACCTTCTTGCTACCCCAAAATAGCCCTGTTCTAGTTTGGATTTTTAACCTGCGATATAATGCCATATATTTTCCCCAGCTGTGTAAAAAATAATTTGCCAGATGACAAGATGCAGA